TTTGCACCCGTGTCATGCAATGCCCGCAGAGGACAGAAGGGGCTGTTGGATCCCCTGGGACTGGAGTTATGGACAGCTGTTAGCTGCCATGTGGGTACTGTGATACAAACCCGAGTCTTCTGCAAGAACAGCCAGTTTTCTTAACCGCTGAGCCATCTCTCCAGCCCCTGCTTCTCTCAAAAAGACAAAAAAAGAAAAAAAAAAAGTAAGTGTATGTGTGTATGCCATGTACATGCAGGTACCAAAACATGGTTGTGAGCTGCCATGTGGTTGCTGGGAACCAAACCCGGGTCATCTGCAAGAACAAGAGCTCTTAACCACTGAGTCATCGCTCTAGCCCTCTTTTTCTTTTTTAAAAAAATTAAATGGGCTGGGTGTTGGGGCACATGCCTTTAATCCCAGCACTTGGAGGCGGAGGCAGGCAGATTTCTGTGAGTTCAAGGCCAGCCTGGTCTACATAGTGAGTTCCAGGACAGCTGGGGCTGCAGGGAGAAGACTGTCTCGAAAAGGCATCCGCCCCCCAAATGCGCAGTGGTTATGAGCTCTGGCTGCTCTTACAGAGGACCCTGGTTCGATTCCCAGCACCCACATGGAGGTTGATGACAGTTTGTAACATAACCCCAGTTCTAGGGGACCTGACTCTGGCTTCTGACATCCAAGGGCACTGCAGGACATGGGTGCATTGATACACATAAAATAAGAAATAATAAATACAAATTTTTCTTTTTCTTCTTGAGACAGGGTCTCTCTGTAGTCCCAGCTGGCCTGGAACTTGGTATGTAGACTAGGCTGGCCTTGAATTCAGAGATCCACTTCTTTCTGCCTCCCAAGTGCTGGGACTAAAGGTGTGGGTCACCATACCTGGCAAATTAAAAAAAAAAATTTTTTTTTTATGTGTATGAGTGTTCTGCCTGCATGCATGTAAATATACCATGTGCATGCTTGGTCCCTGTGGGGGCCAGAAGAGGGCATCAGATCCCCTGGAACTGGAGTTAAGGATAGGTGTCTGCCACCATGTGGGTCCTGGGAACCAAACTGAGGTCCTCTGCAAGATCAGCCAGTGCTCTTGACTGCTGCAAGGTCTCTCCACCTCCCCACCCCCAACCCGACACAAGGTCATATTCCAATCTACATTGGAACTCATGGCAATCTTTCTGCCTCCACTCCTAAATGTTGAGATTACAGGTATGAATCATCACGCCCAGCTCCTTCTTTCTGGAAAAACAGGTAACCTGTGAAGATGTCAGGATCAAACATATAGTAGCTGAGCGGTGGGCACTCTGGGAGTCACCTTTCATCTTTCCCCTTAGTTCCCCCCAACTTCTGTCTCACACCCTGCTTTCCTGGAGTCTCAAGTCCGGCTCTCCTCCAGCCGGGACCTAGTCTTACCTCTCCCTCGACTCTCTCCTTCCCTGGAGGCCATCACCAAATCTAACTTGGAGGCAGCAGTCCCGAAGTGTCCCACAGCCAGCAGGTGTTCCACATGGCCTCCACACCGTCCAACGGGGCTGCAGGTGGCCAGTCCATCTGCCCCTGCTGTCCCCAGGCTTCTTGCCCAGCCTCACCTGTGCACACCCTGTCTTGGGACTCCTTCTCTTGAGGGCCTTGGGCTAAGCTTCCTCTCACCTTTAGGAGTAGAGCAGCCTTGGTCTATGTCTGTTACAAGTCATGTGTGGACTGGAGTAAGGTCTTATGATGTTGCCCAGTTGGTCTTGAACTCTTAGGCTGAAGCAATCCTCTTGCTTCTGCCTCCTGGGGGTTTGGAATACAGGTGTGTGCCACGGCATCCAGTTGCCTCTTCCTTTTCTAAAACATGCCCACTACTAGGTAACCCCAACACTCAGGAAATGGAGGCAGGAGACTTGCCACAAGTTTGAGGCCAGCCTGGGCTACACAGTGAAATGAACACCAGGCTAGTGAGAGCTACATAGTGAGACCCTGTCAAGATAAAGCAAGTGTACATTAGGAGACTGGAAGGTCCGGCAGTGGCTGTACGGCTGACCTGCTCAGGTGGTATTGCCCATTTGCTTCCTTCATCCATCCAGCTGCCTCTGCCCCCCAGGCCCTGAAGTCTTTCCTGTTTCCTGGCACTGTGTGAGCTCTTGGCAGAATGCCAGGTGTTTGCTAAGAGGGCCCATGCCCTCACCTGTGCTCACCTTCTGCAGTGGGTGAGAGTGGGCGCTGCAGCTGCCACGCATGACCATGCCGTGTGGCCCACCGGTTAGTGGGAGCTGGTGTACTGCCCATCCTAAAGGAGTGTCTAGTGGATGCAGCAGGCCAGGAACTGTCCGGGCAGGTTTTGCAGGCTCAGAAAACACAAGCCCAGGGTGAGATACTTTTCTTTACTCGGTTTTTCCTGTTTTTGGAAATGGGGTCTCCCTATGTGGCCTTGAATTCCTGATCCTGTCTGCTTTCCCAGGGTGAGATTACAGGCATGTGCCACAACGCCCAGCCGTGTTGTGCTTTTAAACAAAACTTTGGTTTGGCTTATGTTTCATTTATGGAGAAATGGAATTCAGTTGAGGAGCTGGCAAAATAATAAAAGTTCCTCCCAAAGTTCTGTCCACTGCTATGCAGATCAGCCATGTGGCCACAACCTCAGATGTGCTGACCTGAGGTGGGAGGCACATCACAGCTTTAGGCAAAGTCAGATGACAATGTCCTAGTCCTAAGACGCTGCAGGATCTGGGATACGATGGCTTGCGGGGACATGCAGTGTCCCTGTGGTGCCTAGCTCAGTGCCCCAACTGGGCAAGGACTGGCCTCCTCAGTGTGTGCCCAGAGAATGTGCTGGCCTGTGTGCTGCCAGCTCCTGTGAACTGCTTGCGCAGGTGGAATGGGGACAGCTCTCCTGAGAGCGGAAAGAAAAGCCCCTTACCAGGCCAGCTTTCTGGGAAAACTGGGAGGCTCATGTTGGAGGTGCCATGGCAAACAGTCCATCAATCTGCGGCACCACTTGATTAAGTAGCCAAGCACAGTCCCTGGAACAAGGCAGAAAGTTATGAGCCCTGCTGGACTACCCCGAGTCCACCCGGGGGGCTGTGGGGTCAAGGTTAGACTCTCCAAAATGTTGTGTCATGTCTGGGTGTTGTGGTCCATGCCTATAATCACCAAACTTTGGAGGCTAAGGCAGGATTGTGAGTTTGAAGCCTGCCTCAAAAACAAACAAAACCCTAAGTTAAAAAAACAGGGAAGGGGCTGAAGAGATGGCTCCGTGGTTAAAGATCACTGACTGCTCTTGAAGAGGACCCAGGTTTAGTTCCTTGCATCCACAGGCAGCTAACAACAGTCTGTGACTCCAGTTCCAGGGGATCAGACACCCTCTTCTAACTTCTGTGGCCACTGCATGACATGGATGTGCTTACATGCAGGCAATACACTAATACACATAAAAAACAGAACAGGGGGCTGGAGAGACGGCTCAGCGGTTAAGAGCACTGACTGCTCTTGCAGAGGACCCGGGTTCGATTCCCAGCACCCACATGGCGGCTACGAACCGTCCTTAACTCCAGTTCCAGGGGAACCCGAAGCCCTCTTCTGACCTCCATGGCACTGCATGAAATGGGTGCACACACATACATGAAGACAATACACTCATACACATAAAATGAAAATAATAAAATATTTTAAAAAACCCAGAAGACAAAAAGAATCCCAAACAAAAAACCAAGCACTAGATGCTCTTGCGGAGAACCTGGGTTTGGTTCCCAGCACCCACATGGCAGCTGACATCCTGTTTCAGGGAATCCAGTCTTTTTCTGGCCTCCACATGCACTGCATACATGTGGTACTCTCAAACACACCCAGGCCATGTCATGAGGAACAGCAAGGAGGGGAGAGGGGGGACTTTCTGGTGAAGAGAAATGGTGGACAAAGGGAAACATGAACTAGGGAGGACATGGATCTGTCTGCTCCATGGCTGTAGCAGAGGTCTGGAGCCAGGCTGTGGTCTGCAGTCATGTCCATGAACAACTCTAAGGGCTTGGTCCAAAAGAATAGAACATGTCAAAGCGTGAGATTCAATTTGATTCAGTGACTACTCTGGGCCTTTTGGTGGGCCTGGTGACAACTATGCATTTCTAACCAGTTCTTGATGTCTTGCTGTGGGTCCTGGCCCACATGGAGGAGGCAAAGGCAGTCCAATGGGAGCTGGTACTGGATGGAGGGCACAGTGAAGCACTGTAGTCCAGTCTGAGATCAGCATTTGGCTTGCTGAGGCCTGAACAAAGTGGATCTCTCCAAGTCTTGGCTTCCCTGTCTTTGAATGGGAACTAGTCATGGAATTTACCATCCAGAAAGCCAGGAGGGCTGGACCAATGTTCAGTAAGGCAGAGACTCAAGGAAAAGCTCCCCAGGGAGTATCCACTCATCTCCCAAGAGTGCCCAGTGCCAACACACAGGCTGCAGGGAAAGGTCTGTGCCCCTCAATTCAAGTGCTCCATTGCTTCAAGCGATACTAGGGTGTGGTCTGTTTTGTGTTGGGGAGGCAGGCAGGGCTGCAGGTGCCATGGGGCATGCCCCTCTCACAGCTAAACACTCGCACGCTCTGCCAGTCCCTCTGTCGACATTCTACCGCTTGGGTGTGAACCATCTGTTCTACCACATACAGACCGGTGTAAAGTTCTGCTTATATGACAAGGCAACGTTGAGTACCAGGTGTGTGTGGTCTCTCTCACCGGTTGGTACTCTTCTGAGATGGAGTTTCAGGCCTGTCCCCAGGATGCAGGCGTCTCTGCTTATTTTCGTAAGCCTAGTCCTATGGGATGGATGTTTCAGACACAGCAGTATATGTCTGAGTGTCCCAGGACCACGTCAGCCCCCAGAAGGGCCCAGAGTAAGACTTGGGTCTGGGGAGGAGACAAGGGAGAGAGGGGCAGGCACCCGCAGTCCTATTTCCAACATGACTAATATCCGTACTTTCTAAACCCTGTGGCATTACAGTAGTCTCCAGGGAGGCCTGTTTTTGTACATAATAGGCAACATCAAAGACAAACCTGAGAACAAAAACGTATTTAATTGGACTTGGCTCTGATTTATACCAATCAACCCTGAAGACACCAATGCGACGTGACCATAAACAAGTGGCAGCGCCAGCACTCAGGTGATTCGGAACAGACCGAGGACAGAGCCCTGTGCTTCCTAGTGCAGCGACTGCATCCGGACCTGCCTGACGTCCCTTCCCCAGCTTCAGATGAGAAAGTATGTCCCAGCACTCAGGAGGCGGAGGTGGGAAGAAGGCTGCCAGTGAGGCTGGTCTGGGCTATGCACTGAGACCTTGTCTTAATAAGCTTGACAAAAATGTGCAAAACTGACATCACATGTATGAAGGAGGAAGGAGACGCTCATTTTACACAGTACTACTGAGGTCACCAGCATTAATTAAAATCCAAGCCCACTGGCAATTTTACTGGAGAAAACAACGTGCAGCAAGTAGCAAACTGGAGTCCGACATGCGTTCCATTTATGTGACGGGCGGGGTGCTGAGAACGGGCAGGACCTGCGAGGCTACCTTTGGCCTCAGAGACACCCTTCACTCCCACTGGGGGAGCAGTTTCTCAGGAGGTGCACTTTCCAGGACATGCACGGTGCCCCAGGACACACAGTGAGCACCAAAATGCCGTGATGAAGTTCGTGCCACTGCTCCATGGTGCATCCTGTGACATGCTGTCAGACCACAACACACTCGGCTATACAACATATCTTTAAAGCTGATAAAAATCTATCGGACGAGTATTTTGACTAAGGAAAATGGTTCTGAACGTGATACGGAAACCATGCAACCACAAGTTACACTGCACGTGACCTACTGTGACAACTAACAGCACAATGCTAGTTCCTCTTTTGGGACCTACTGACACACTTCATTACTGAGTAGCAAAGGACAGTTACCACTTCTGTCAGCGACTTCACCCACGTCCACTGGGCTAACAAAGTAAGTAGATCCCGTGGCTGTATGAAGGAGTGAACCCAGAGGCAGATACACCCACTTTGCAGTCCCAGTGGCTCCCTACTGGCCAAAGCTGTACCAGTGACCTATAGTCCTGCGAGAAGCAGCGGGAACGGTCTGGGGGACAGTGTTAAAATGGGGTTCCTGCTGAGGGGAAACCCGGTGGGAGCTGCCTGGGGAGTCCCTGAGCACAGAGGGCAGACTGACAGCACACAGTGCGCTTGAGAGCCAGGACCACGGGTCTGCGTGTCAGTCTGCAGCTGATAACTGCAGTAGCCGAGCCTGGCCCAGTGATCCACTGCACGCCTGATCTCACACCCACACCTTCTCTACCTCTCAGGCTCTGGGTAGTTCCCTTACACAAGACCAATTACTATGCAGGCTTTGTTCGTTTCTTCACCTGAAGTCTTGAGTACTAACTCAAGCTAGGGAAGTGCAGGGCCTGTGTTCTAGGAAACAGGCAGTTGGAGTGTGTGCACTTCTGAGTAGCCAACTTCCCATCTTGCCAGGAGCCAGGGCTCCAGGTGCCACTAGTACAAGCCTTGAGGGAGATGTAGATGAAGTCAGGCAGGGCTTGGCTCACTGAGCACAAGAGCTCACGTGCAAGGCCTGGGAAAGTGTGCTCTGTGCGGGCAGGGGCCTGGAGGCCAGAGGGCACTGGCCTCCTGAAAAGACACTTTGGGCTTGCTATAGAGGTAGAAGTCAGGGACAGGAGCAGGTGAGGCCAAGCGAAGAGGCCTGGAGCACAGTGGCTTCTTCCCCACCCCACCCCTGTCCACCCCTGCTGGTGACATGTAGAAAAGCTATAGTATTGCTTATCCCTATCAGAAAACTGCCCAGCGCCACAGAGCGTGGGTACAAAACTGATGTGCCCTTAAAAGGAAACAGACCGCGAGACTGACAACAACCAGAAAGGCAACCTAGCACGGCAGGTTCAGCGCCGGGGAATGTGTCTCCACGGGTGCAACAAGAATTGTCCCTGCAGTAAGAGTGGTGTGGGGCTGGCAAGAGCCTCGGTCCGCAGCCCTCAGCAGGAGGGCGAAGCAGCAGCTCAGGTTCAGATCCTCGTGCCCGTTCGTGGGATTTATAAAATAATTAAAAAGCCCACATTTAAAAGTTATAATTTATAGAGTATCCAGTACAAAATCAGTCTTTAAAAAGGGACTGTGGCTCTCAGAAGAAGTCTGCAGCCCTGGGCCGTCTCTTTGGGGTGGTGGCTGGTGGCTTCCTGGTTGCCAGGGGAGTGCAGGCAGGGGAGCTGGTGGGGGTCTTCAGCACTCCGTGGAGTGGTTTCTGCTCAGGGTTGAAGGCCACTCGGGAGAGGCCTGTGGGACTGACCAGGATACTCTTGTCTGTCTTCTTAAATTCTGTCCCAAAGGAAAGGAAGGTCCGTTAGGTGTCGAGCCGTTCCTCCCAGGTGAGGTGCCCAGGGCTCCCCAGGCCCTGGGAAATGCAAAGGGCACCTGTGATGTGCTGTCTGTGGGTGGCAGGGAGCTGCCTGGGATGAAGGGCAGCTGTGGTTCAGGGAGTGTCCCCCAGGAGAACCCACCTCCACTTCCCGCTCTATAGCCCGGGTTGCTTAGCTGAGGTGCGCTCCTGCATGCTAGTGAACACAGGGATGTGTACATACAGTCATGTGTCTGAATACACATATAGCATAATCACTCATGGGTCCACAAAGTCAGATTTTTTTTTTTTTTTTTTGGTCTTTTTGAGACAGGTCTCCCTGTAGCCCCAGCTGTCCTGGCACTCGCTATGTAGACCAGGCTGGCCTCAATCTCACAAGACATCTGTCTGCCTCTGCCTCCTGGGTGCTGGGGCAGTCAGGTCTTAAACTCACAATAAACTTGGACATGCCCTTGGTTTGCAACAGCAGTAACAATATAGGAGTACGCAGTGGATGGTACTACACTGTAGGCCAGGGACACCAGTGGCCTTCAGTTATAGTCCCGGCAGCTACAGTTAAGGAACTGGGGTCCTCATCCTCTGCGAGACAGACGAGCGAGGCACCTGGGCTGATGGCTTCTTACCTCACCTCTGCCAGGTGGCTCCAGGAAATCTCCCTGGCAACTGCGACAGAGCTGCGAGGCAAGCACACGGAGCTGCTAACCTGACTTGGAAACAGACGAGAGGCCTCTGGCTACCTGTGGACATGCTCTGCCTGCCAGGGACCCTGATGGAACCAGTTCCAGCTGGTCGGTCCCAAGGAAGTTTCTCAGGAAAGACCTGGAACATGAAGGCGGGCCTCTGGAACCCTCCCCACTCACCCGCTGTCATGTTTCTGCTCAATCCAAAGGTGACTTTCTTTGAGCTGGGTGGTGTTCTATTCAGCTGCAAAACAGTAACAAAGGAGTAACCATGGCAACCTTGGCGCTCAGCTTCCTTGTCTGGGATCTTCTGAACTTTCCCAGTCTATCCCGACTTGCATACATACAGGGCATACATACAGGGCATACATGCAGAGGCCAAAGGGACAGCGTGCCAGGGCCTAAATTAATGCCTCAACCTCTGGTCTCCACCAGGATGCTGTCCCCAGGCTTCCTGGCCTGAGTTCTTCTCAGAGCACGGTCACATACGACTCTTTCCCAAACTGTGCAACGGTCAGGCGAGATCTGGGCACTGCTGCAGTGCCTACCCCAGCGCCTGGGTTCCCAGCGCAGAAGCAAACGAAGAGGCCTGCAACCCCAAATTTACCACGGAACATGAAGGGTGTATGCCAACCACCACTAATCAATTTGTTCTGTGACGTGGGGCCATGTACGGAGGGCAGAAGATAACCTTTTAGAAGTCAGTTCCCCCTTCTACATTGGATTCTGTAAATCAGACTCAGGTCACCAGGCTGGTTCTTCTTACCTGTGGTGCCATCTTGCTGGCCCTAAGCCCTAAACTTTAATTTGTGGACCACATAAACCAGTAAGATTGGCTTAAAATGGACGCCTTTAATCCCAGCACTCGGGAGGCAGGTTGATCTGTGAGTTCAAGGCTAGCCTGGTCTATATAGCAAGTTCTAGGCCAGCTGGGGCTACAGGGAGACCCTGTCTCAAAAAAAAAAAAAAAAGCCTGTTGTTTTCACTAGGGCCTTGGTGCCTACTTGGTAAATGCTGAACACCGGGACACTGCCACCAATTTCCAACTTTTTGTGCAAAGAAATTCAATCGTCTAGATACCCCGAAGTCCACCCAAGTCAACAATGTACTTTTCTACTTACGAAGTTCTAAAGCCAAGCCCCCCGCCCCCCATGAAAGCTTTGGTAAGAGTCCTTCCCAGAACCCCTATTTCTTGCTCTGAGTTCCTGATTCCGCCTTCTCCCACCCCACATCAACACTACAGACATCTCCAAGTGGAGCTGAGCGCGGAGCGTGCTGGGCAGAATGCACTATCTATAGCTCAGAACACAGCTGGACCCCCCTCCCCGCCCCCCAGTGCTACAGAGGCTGAGGATGACAGGAACTCGCCGGGAGAGTCAGGACAGATGGCAGCACGCCCCGGTCTGTGTCCCTGTGGAGGGTGTGCTGTGAAGGGCTCACCTGGACGGCAGGACCTGAGGGGGAGGTGGCAGTGTTGCCTTTTGCTTTTTTGAAGAACAGGGGCTTTGGTATGATGTTAGTGTCAAACTTCACAAAGTCGTTCTCTGTTCTGAGCGGCTTCTTCAGAGGGCCTGGGGTACTGCTGCTTCCCTGTGTGCAGGGACAACAGAGTCATATCGTGGGTCCCTTACCAGGCCCACGCCCACAGGACAACGCAGCAGGGAGCTGCTGGAGGCTGACCCGACCTCAGCCCTCAGCGTCCCGGGCCAGGTTGGCTAAGAGCCTTCTCGGCAGAGCAGACCTCAGCTCTCAGCCGGCAGGGGGGCAACATCCTGTCAGCAGATAAGCCCATGTCTGAAACTTTATCTTCACACAGACCCCACATTCTGAACCTCACCTTACAAAGTTCACCTCACTTTCTAAGATGCCCAGATAACACGTGGGTTGCAGTCTGGTGTGGAGGGTAAGGCCGCCACAGGCCTTGCAGGTCCTGGGCAGGCAGTGAAGACTCAGGACTGTGAACCACAACCCAGCCAGCCAGCTAGCTTGGCTCTGGGACATGCACATCTGAGATGCTGTGCACTGCTCTGGCTGGAACCTGCCGACCTTGCTGTAGTCCCATCTTCATCTGGCACACCCAAAGGTGGCCACAGCTCTAGGAGCCAAGTCACACAGATAATGGCAACCTCCCTTGGTTCCGGGAACTGCTTAGCAAACACCTCAGTTCTAAGAGTACTCATCAGGGCCTGAGAAACAGGCAAGGTTGGAGGCTGACATGACATGGCCAGGGCTCCACCCCCTTCACCAAGCTTTTACCACCCAGGAACTCACTTGGTCAGAGATGGGCTTCCATGTCATGGGCACCACAAAACAGTACATGTACATGCTGGTGGTGAACAAGGGTCAGAGGCTTTCTCCGTAAAGCCAGGAGTCACTATTTCTGGCCTTTCAGGCCATGGGATTGCTGCTATGCAGCGTATGTGGCCACAGCAATGAGCATGTTTACCACATGTGCTGGCCCGGGCCTAGCGGTATACTGTGCTTCCTGAGATGGGGCAACACAGGCCAAGAGGGGCTGGGTAGGGGAGTGGCCGAGGACAGGAACGGCCTCTGATGGGGTCTGAGCTTGCCTGTCTGCACCGGGGGTGGCAGGAGTGCCTTTCCTCAGGGGATTTCTCAGCTCCAAGTTTACCCTTCCCTGACCTCTGACCAGATAGACCGGGGACGTGTGCTGGGATGGTGGTGGATGGAAGCACCTGGAGTGTCATTTCCTTATTGGTGAGGATTGTTACAAAGCTTATTCTAACTTGCTTAGCTGAGAACTGACTGCCCCATGTCCTGCCAGCAGAGCACCCCGCCCAAGTGTGCCTATTGGCTCTATCTCCATGCTCCAGGCCCTTCCCACCTACCAGAGCTTGAATCTGTCTGACTGTGGGCTCTAACACTCCGTTGTGTTCCACCAAGTGCGACATCTCTTTCCTCTTCTTCCTCTTTTTTAAGATTGCTGTTTTCTGACAGGAGAGGTCACAGAGGCTGAGGCTGCTGGACTGTGCCTTCTTCTGTGGCCTCCTGCACTGGGGCAGAGTGGCCTGGCCGTCTTTTCCCTCCACTGGACTTGCTGGGGGGCCTGTCTTCTGCATCGTCACCATGGTCAGGCCGTCACCATTGACAGGCAGAGTTCCGAGTCTCCGCTTCTTTTTCAGGACTTGCACAGTCTCTGAGGAGGAAACTCTGGCAGTAGAGCCTCGAGAATGGAGGCTCGGGTCGCTCTCTGACATGTCCTCCAGAGGTGATGTGGCAGATCTCCAGATCTTGCTGTGGGCCCTCAGGCTCTTCTTCTTCAGCCGCTTCCTTTTACTGTGCCTGGGCCTGAGGCGGGGCGGCTGGGAGCCGCTCTCCGCCCCGATGCTAGATGTGGTCTCTGTCTCTGTCTCACACCCCTGGGTGGCACTGGGCTCATTTTCTGCCCCCTGCGCTGGGGGCACAGTGGTGTCCTCCAGGCCCTGAGCCTCAGGCTGGCAGTGGCTCCTCTTCTCCCTTTTCCTTTTTCTCTTCTGAATGCTGCCTTCACTGTCTTCTTCATCAGCAAGGAAGACTTTGTTTCCTACAAAGACGCAGACCAATGAGCGAGCTCCCTGACGCTGGGGGTTGGTCCCGCTGGAGATTCTGAAGCTGACTGGGAGTCAGGGTTTCGTGTTTGAGACAGAGTCTTATGCAGCCCAGGCTGGCCTCCAACTTCTGATCCTTATGCTTAGCCCTCCTGAGTGCTGGGAATAGGGGTATGCACCATTGTACCAGGATTTTTGAGACAGGGTCTCCCTGTAGTCCCAAGCTGGCCTGGATTTCACTATGTAGACCAGGCTGGCCTCAGTCTCACAATGATCTGCCTGCCTCTGCCTCTTGAGTGCTAAGATCAAAGGTGTGTGCCACCATGCCAGGCTTGCACCAGGCTTTTTAGACAGGATCTCACTACATAGCTGTTAAGGTCTGGAATTAAAATATTCCCACAGGTGGGCCAGGGAGATGGCTCAGTGGGACCTGAGTTTGGATCTCCAGCACTCATGTAAAAAGCCGAGTGCAGTGGGGTGTGCCTGTAACCCAACTGCTAAGGGTGGGGGTGTGCGTGTCCCCAGAGTGGAGACAGGTGGAAACTGTGAGTGCCAGGTAGAATGAGAAATCCTCAGGTCCAGCTCAGTAGAAACAGGACTGTGGTAGTCAGGTTTCCAACAACTTACCTGATCTTTTGTCTGTAGGTAGGCACATGTACTATAGAGTACACATGGAGGTCAGAGGACATGTGGGAGCTAGGTCTGTCTCTTCTTAGCATGCAGGTCTTGGGAATTCAGCTCAGGTCATCAGGCTTGGCAGCAAGTGCCTTTACCCACTGAGCCATCTTGCCAGCCCAGGTTTCCAGTAATTTTCAAGTCCAAAAATAAAAGCCACAGTCTGAGCAGAGTGGTGAGAACCCTGCTCCAAGGTTGTGTATAGTCAGGTTGAGAACATGCTCAGTACAAGTAAGGCCCTAGGCTTTTGCCCTAGCATCAAAAACTCAAACATATCGACTCCCCAAACCAAAACCAAACACTGCAATTTCAAAGGGTGTCTGGGACTCTGCTCGTTCTCTGAGCCCCCACAACTACTGTCCAGGAGTCGAGTCCTCTGGATGAATGCCGTCAGAACAGTGGTGCAAACAACAAGCACTCAGGACAAGAAATCTTTGGGCTGCTTGTATGGAATGCTGGCACTTGGGAGGTGGAGGCAGATATGGTAAGTTTGAGGCCAGATTGGGCTACAGCCGAACTCTGTCTCAAAGAACAAACAGCCACAATCCCTCCCCTCCCCCAACCAAACTGAGCCCCAGAGCACAAATGTTTTGCTCTGCCAGTGACTGCTGGGAACATCAGCTCACGGGTCTCCAGATCTCCAGAGCAGTTGCCCGTGGGCCTTTTAGTTCCCAGAGCTCAGACTTGGCAGCTTACCTTTCTCCTTTTCCAAGGCAGTTTTCTCTAAAATCTTTCTTTTTTTCTTGTGCCTTCCTTGACTGAGGGCTTGTCCATTTTCATTGGCAGAAATGTCCTCAGCAAAACCAAGTTGAGCATTACTGCCTGCTAGATGCCAGAGACACTTGTCAGTGTCCAGGAGCCTCCTGCCTCTGCTCCAACAGCCTAGGCCTCGGGCTTCTCCCCAGCCACCCAGCCAAGACTTGTGAGCCTGACTACTGCCTCAACACCTGTACTGTTGACAATGACTGAGTCTCTCTATACCCCCCCTCCACCGCCGCCTGGCTTTGTGAGCCCACCCAGTGCACAGAGGACAAGGCCAGCTCCGACCTGCTCCAATTTCTAACCAAGTATACAACAGCTTCCCCTGGGGAAGCAAACAAAAAGGGCCCAAGATCAGGTTCTTCTTTACGAAGGACTGTACGCTTCCTAGCCTGGCAAAATTTTATCTGTTTAAAGTGCCAGATAAAGATAAATGGCTAACAAGTCTCTCCTGTTAAAGAGTTAAACCAAAGCCCCCATTACCCACACACGGGGAGAACCTGCCCCAGTCCTAGCATTTTTGGAGGCACATGATGGGTGCAAAGGACCCTGGACTTGCAGTACTTCTCAGGGGCACCTAGGTAAGACCGCCACCCCATTGCTCAGTAGCTGGCAGGGATGCGCTGGGTGGGGTGTGGACCAGGTAAGAGCATCCTGGCTTAAGGCCCACTCTTCTTACCTGCAGAGAGGTTCTGGAACCTGAGAAAAGAAAAGAACACACAGAAGTTTAGCAAGTTCAAGGCCAAATTTTGAACATACGACACACGATCTGGACATGTGCTTGTCACTTCCTCATGTCCTAGAGGAGGCTAGGGAAGAGGTCCACCAAGGGGCATGTTAGGTCAGGAAGGAACCTAGGACAAAGTCACCCTCAATTCCACTGACTCTGCAAAGGTCACAATGGCTAACAAGTCTCTCTTGATACTGGGCGTGGTGGTACATGCCTTGAATCTTAGTACTTGGGAGGGAGAAGCAGGCAGATCTCTGGTTTGACGCCAGCCTGGTCTGTATTGGCAAGTTCCAGGCCAGCTCAGATCTGTTTATATCCAGGGGAGATTGGTCAGGTGGCGTTTATTACATAACTCTGGCGAATGAGGCCAAACAAGCAAGGTCAAGGGGTTTTAAGATATGAAGCTCCTCCTGTCTAGGGGAACTCTTTTCTTTCCTTCTTTTATTGAAAGACATTGTTTTGGCCTGTTTGCATGTGAGCACACTGAGGCCAGAAGCTGATGTGAGGCTGTCTTTCTTGATCACTTTCTGATCTGGCTAATCTAGGTAGCCATCTTGCTCTGGGAATCCTGTCTCTGTCTCTCAAGTGCTGGGATTACAGGGGGACCTCCGTGCCTACTTAGTATCTCCAGGGGTACTAGGGATCCAAACAGCCCTCATGCTTCCTTCAAACTTGCATGGCAAGTGCTTTACCCACTGAGTCATATCCCTGGATCCTTTAAGCACATTCTTAACATGAAAAGATAAGAGTTGAGCTCAGATCAGTGTCTGACCCAAGGATGTGATCAGACAGCTGTTATCTGTAGTTAGTCAAAACATACCGTGTGGCTCTCTGTGGTCCTAGTGACACTGACCCCAACTACTGAATTAACTGGGCCTTTAGGTACAACCCGGCTGGGAGGTGTGGGTGACTGAGCCCTACTTAACTGGGCATGCCATAGAGGTGACATGAAGAACACACTAATGCATGGTTCCTTGACCTGCTTGAGGCCATCAGCACCACCACCCTACAGCTCAGGTGATGAGCAGGGCTGCCTGTCCCCTTCAGCTTACACATGCGCTATGCTGCTAGGAATACAATAAAAGAAGGAAAAAAGGGAAGAGAGAGCTGGTTCACAGTGTGATGGCCCCAGAGCCTCTACTGGCTGCTTACTTTCTGATCAGCTTGCAGAGCCGCTTCCGGTTGAAAGGCGGGATGTCCTTCTTGTTGGTGATTTCCAGGAGTCGATCAGCAATGGCTTTATAGTCAAACTACCAAGAGGAGACATGAAGCCTGAGTGGCAACAGAATGACCTGGCCTCCCTGGAAATGTGGGATGGGAGGCAGGAGGACTGCTGAGTTCCACTGCAGCTGAGACTACTAGCAACCATGCTTCAAATAACAACACAAGGAGCCAGGTGGTGGCACAGGCCTTCAAGCCTGGCACTTGGGAGGCAGAGGCAGGTGGATCTCTGTGAGAATGAGGCCAGCTTGGGGTACACAGTAAGTTCCAGGCCAGCTGTGGCTATAGGGAGACCCTGTCTCAACAGACAGACAGAAACCCCAAACAATCCCCAACAGTACTAGAGCTGGCTCTGCTGCATAGAATACAACAGCTAGCAAAAACTGCGGATTTTTTTAGTGTCTTTCAAGATCCCATCTTATTTATTTTTGAGACAGGAGGCCATCAGGCAGCCCAGGCTGGACTTAGTGTTTTGCTTGCACGTATATTAGTTCACCCATATCATGCAGTGCTCATGCAGACCAGAAGAGGACACTGGGTCTCTAGGAACTGGACAGCCCCCAGCGCAGATCCTTCTGTCTGCCTGCCTTCTGTGTGATGAGATTCCATGTGTCACCATGTCAGCTGAAAGTCCCACTCTATTTAAATCTGTCTCCAACGAGCTCATTCTAAGAAAGGTGACATCAATCACAGATGGGATTATAAAGGATTTTATACCTCAGGCCTACGCTTAACCAGCTCTGACCCCAATTCTCCAGCCAAACCAATCCCTGGCCAATCCACATTCTATAAAAAACAACAGCTGGACCCACCTGGAGAGGTGACCCCGAGTCTCTGAAAGCTGCAAAGCCGTCTGTGTCTCTGCCATCACCGACTCCATCTCCGAGGCATTCACTTAGTTCTGTGAAAACACAGCCAAAGACAAAACTCTGACATTCAAGAATGGACACAGCTCAGCTGCTCCAGGCACTGGGTTCCACCATCTAGCACCAGGAAGATGAGCGGACAGTGACAGCTGCCTGGCGGATACATCTAATTAGGCCTCTTCCAGTACAAGAGGATATTTTATTAAAAATTTTGTCTTCTTGGTCTTTATTCCCAGCACTCAGGAGGCAGAGGCAGGTGGATCTCTGTGAGTTCAAGGCCAGTCTGTTCTACATAGTAAGTTCCAGGACAGCTGGGGCTACAGGGAGACCCTGCCTCAAAAAGACCAAAAAAAAAAAGTCTTCTTATCTTTATAAGTGAGGCCTCAGGTTCTGTCCCCAACCCTCAATGAGCAAAATAATGATTAAAATGCCCAGAAGGAAGTCTCAGAAGGAAAGTCATAGCAACAGTGTGCTATGGAGGTCTCCTGGGCGCAGAGACCAGGGTGTGCTGTGGAGGTCTCCTGGGCGCAGCTCTCTCAGTCACATGTCCTCCAGCACTGAAACACAACGTTTCACAAAGAAGGTGGGGATCCTAGGAGGGACAGAATGCAAGTGGGGCCAGTGTGAGCAGTGCTGGGTCTCTCCCTGAGGCCCCTACCCTGCACAGGTGTCTCTTATGTACTCTGTTTCCTCTCTTGGGAGGGGTCCAAGGCAAAGCCATCTTCCACCAATCAATTCTAGGCTGTAATCAGTGAGATGCTAGCAAATACATTAAAAATGTTTGCTTGACAAGGATTGAAAAAATGAAAACCAAAGGCACTGGAGAGATAGCTCAGTTGGTCAAGTGCTTGCCCTGCAGGCATAAGGACTTGAGTTTAATCCACAGAAGCCACATCAAAAGTGCTGGGCATGGTGGTGCACACCTGTAATCCCAGCACTGGGAAGGAAGAGACAGGAGGATCCCTGGGGCTCACAGGCCAACTGGTCTAGTTTAACTGGTAAGCTGCAGGCCAATGATGGGCCCTGCCTCAAAAACAAGGTGGAAGGTGCCTGGGGAATGACAGCCAAGGGTGACACCCGGCCTCACATGCATGTGCGTATGTGTACCCACACCCCCCACCCAACAAACAGAATCCCCAGAAACAAGAAGAGCACTGAGGAAACCTCTCACCCGCTTTCTTCCCGGGGACTGCATTTCTCCAGGCCATCTTGTTTGCAGGGATCTCTTCTTTTGAGAGGTCACAGTCACCAACTTTGGTTTTCTGCTCTTTCACAGTCTCTTCAGGTACAAAAGCAGACTGATCTACAATGACTTCAAAAACAGTCCTTGCTATAGTCTGTACCAGTGTGTGGCTGAGGGTAGGAGCAGAGGAGAGAACGTGGTTAAAACTGGGTCTGCACCGTGTGGGAACGGAAAGCAGCAGAGCAGCACGCGAAGCGCTGGGCCTATAACTGCAGCCCGCCTGGGACCTGGTGAGAACAACTGGTCAGCAGGGACCCGTGTCCCAAAGGGACGCCTGTGGGGTCCACTGCAGATGCCACAGGACACACAGCAGGCAGGACTCTGCTGTGGATACATTCCCAGAACGAGCAGCCACATGGCAGCAGGGAGAGCTGAGCCCCTGTGAGTGCTTCACCGCTTCTCCCTTTGACTAGAATCTTGCCAAGTAGCCCAGGCTACTCTGCTTGGGCTTCCAGAGTGCTGAGATGACAGGTGTGTGTCGCTGCGCCTGGCTTCAGAAGGCCTAGGGCGGCTTAGGAATGGGTGTTCCTTATTCTGGATAATCACCCTGGCCATACTCTACAGTGCCAGGAAAAGACCCCCCCCATTCAGGCACCAATTGAAACAATGAGAACGTGTGAGTCACTTACTCTTTAGTCTTGGCAGCAATTCTGCAAAATGGATCAATAAATTTGAGGTTCTGATCTGCTAAAAGCTGTAATGTAGACATAAAACAGGAAAAAAAAATGAGAAAAAAAAGACCGTTGTCTCTTTTCTGACACATCATAGGAAAGGAACCTCCTGTGTCTTTTGTAGGTGAATCGGATGCTGCAGTACTTATCTCAGACAGCCCCAGACACTGCAAGAACCGCTCAGAGGCCTGTGCCTGCCTCACCACGGGCCTTCTGCAGTCTTAATGCAATGGCCAAAGAACGGTTAACTGGCCACTGCAAAACTCACTTCTCTGTGAGAGGGCTGGTGTGACACAGAGGTGACCACTTGCCTAGCACACAGAAGGCCCTGAGCCTCCCCAGAACTGCAAGGAAAATAAAGTTCCACATGGACACTGCCGCAGAGTGTGAATGAAGGCATTCTCTTTTAGAAGGATTTCGGTCAATCATTTATTGATTTTGTGTGTAACTGGCCACTGCAAAACTCACTTCTCTGTGAGAGGGCTGGTGTGACACAGAGGTGACCACTTGCCTAGCACACAGAAGGCCCTGAGCCTCCCCAGAACTGCAAGGAAAATAAAGTTCCACATGGACACTGCCGCAGAGTGTGAATGAAGGCATTCTCTTTTAGAAGGATTTCGGTCAATCATTTATTGATTTTGTGTGTATGTGAGTGCATCCATTCCACAGTGTGTGTATGTGAGTGCATCCATTCCACAGTGTACATGTGTGTGAGTGCATCCATTCCACAGTGTGTATATGTGAGTGCATCCATTCCACAGTGTACATGTGTGTGAGTGCATCCATTCCACAGTGTGTATGTGTGTGAGTGCATCCATTCCACAGTGTGTATGTGTGTGAGTGCATCCATTCCACAGTGTGTATGTGTGTGAGTGCATCCATTCCACAGTGTGTATGTGTGTGAGTGCATCCATTCCACAGTGTGTATGTGTGTGAGTGCATCCATTCCACAGTGTGTATGTGTGTGAGTGCATCCATTCCACAGTGTGTATGTGTGTGAGTGCATCCATTCCACAGTGTGTATGTGTGTGAGTGCATCCATTCCACAGTGTGTATGTGTGTGAGTGCATCCATTCCACAGTGTGTATGTGTGTGAGTGCATCCATTCCACAGTGTGTATGTGTGTGAGTGCATCCATTCCACAGTGTGTATGTGTGTGAGTGCATCCATTCCACAGTGTGTATGTGTGTGAGTGCATCCATTCCACAGTGTGTATGTGTGTGAGTGCATCCATTCCACAGTGTGTATGTGTGTGAGTGCATCCATTCCACAGTGTGTATGTGTGTGAGTGCATCCATTCCACAGTGTGTATGTGTGTGAGTGCATCCATTCCACAGTGTGTATGTGTGTGAGTGCATCCATTCCACAGTGTGTATGTGTGTGAGTGCATCCATTCCACAGTGTGTATGTGTGTGAGTGCATCCATTCCACAGTGTGTATGTGTGTGAGTGCATCCATTCCACAGTGTGTATGTGTGTGAGTGCATCCATTCCACAGTGTGTATGTGTGTGAGTGCATCCATTCCACAGTGTGTATGTGTGTGAGTGCATCCATTCCACAGTGTGTATGTGTGTGAGTGCATCCATTCCACAGTGTGTATGTGTGTGAGTGCATCCATTCCACAGTGTGTATGTGTGTGAGTGCATCCATTCCACAGTGTGTATGTGTGTGAGTGCATCCATTCCACAGTGTGTGTATGTGAGTGCATGTCAGTGTGTATGTGTATGTGAGTGCACACATGCCACACTGTGTGTGGAGATCAGAGGACGACTCTTTGGAGTCGGTTCTTGCTCCACTTTTATGTGGATTCCACAGATCAAGCTCAGGTTGTCAGGTTTGGCAGCAAGTGCCTTTAACGACTGAGCAATCTGGCCTGCTTACCTGTCATCCTGTCATCCATCCATCCATCCATCCATCCATCTACCCATCCATCCATCCATCCATTTATTTATTGTGTATGAGGGTTATGCCTGTGTGCCGGATAGCTTTAGTGTCACCTTGACACACCTGGGTTGAAGGAGCCTCAATTGGGGAATTGCCTCCATTGGACTGGCCTGTGGCCATGTCTGTTGGGCATTTTCTTGATTGTTGAGTGATATGGGAGGGACCAGCCCACTGTGGGTAGTGCCACCCCTGGGCAGGTGGGCCTGTGTTGGGTAAGAGAGTAAGCTGAGCACAGGCCAGGGGAGCAAGCCAGTAAGCAGCATTCCTCCATGGGCTGTGCTCCAGCTCCTGCTTCTAGGTTCCTGCTCTGTGTTCCTACCTTGGGCTCCCGGATGAACTGTGACCTGGGATATGTAAGATACATAAACCCTTTCCTCCCCAAGTTGGTATTGGTCAGAGTGTTTTGTCACAGCAATGGAGAAACAAACTAAGATAGCCTGCATGCATGTAAGTGCATCTGTGCTGTGTAATGCCCGTGGAGGTCATAAGAGGGTGTCAGATCCCCTGAAACACAGTTAACTGAAACACAGTTACAGTTACAGACAGTTATTAGCCACCATGTGGGTGCTGGGATTTAATCAGGGTCCTCTGCAAGAGCAGTCAGTGCTCTTAACCACTGAGCAATCCCGCCAGCACCCCTCCCAAAATGCAACATTTATATTTTTACTTAGAACACACACATGCACACACACTGTTCACTTGTCAAACAGAAAAGTAAAACTGCTTCTACTTCCAATCTGAGACACAAATGTCTTTTCTTCCAGCTTTTTGTCTTTTATGTATGCACAGTCTTGTCTACTGCTGGCCTCAACACCTGGGCTCAAGTGAGCGTCCTGCCTCAGCTTCTCCAGTGGCTAGGACACAGGTGTCTGCCACTGTGTGTGGCTCTGTACACACTTGTGTATAAACCTTTGTTCAAATGCAGTGCCAGATGAGGAAAAAACTGCTGAGAGGCTGCAGTTGCAGTCTACCGCAGGCAGTGTCCACAGCGTCTCCTGAGTATATGGCACCAGAGCAGAGCCTGCCTCTTACCTCTCTCCCTCCTACGGTAGAAAGCTCAGCCAGATAAATGGATACCAAGTGGACTCTCACTCCATCTGGGGACTGACTGTCAGGACACAGGATCTCCTTCATCAGGACATCAAGAAAAATCTTGATTTGGCTAAAAAGCAAAAAACAGAAACAAAACAGACCATATACAACTTAAAATATTTTACTTCCCCTGGAACTGGAGTTATGGACTGCTGTTGAGTGCCCATGTGGGTGCTGGGAACTGAACCCAGGTCTTCTGCAAGAGCAGCCAGTGCTCTTAACCGCAGAGCACCTCTCCGTACAGAGCCCCACCATGTACAGTTTTAGAAAGGACATTATTGCTAACACTGTTCTCTTCTTAAAGAATGGATGAAAATATCCAGTTTACTGCTCACATTGCATAACGATGAATTTGAGGCCCAAACAGGTTTACAGGGAAGAAAGCAGTTACTGAAATCAGTATCAAGCATGCCCGTTGGAGGATCCTCTACTGCATCCTAAGTCTCCTCTGGATAAGGACACACTCTGCCTCTCAGCACTGCAGAGTGATAGGCACAGATCAGCTGATTCATAGCGACTTTTAAACAATAATATATGATGGTATTTAGAGGCCCCCCAACTCTCGTTACTGCCCTTGCCAAATTTAATGGACTTTTTATTTTATATATAATAAAGGTCTATAGAGTCTGATTTGTGTCTCCAAATACCCTTTAGTGTGGGTCCATCCAATGGAACCTGGTTAACCTATTAAGAGTCACATCCGGGGCTGGAGAGATGGCTCAGTGGTTAAGAACACTGGCTGTTCTTACAGAAGACCCAGGTTCAAATCTCAGCACCCACATGGCAACTAGCAACTGTCCATAACTCTCAGTCCAGGGGATCTGACAGCCTCTTCTGTCCTTCGTGGGCATTGCACGACACATGTGCACTTACCTACATGCAGGTACTACAGTCATACACATAATATAAAAAAAAAAAAGGGTCACATCCTTGAATGTGACTGATCCTCCCCTCCCAGCAGTCACTGGCTGCCAACAGCTCCTGAGGTACAGTTGGGGTTTCTTACCTATTTCCCCCACATCTATGCTGAGATTTTGTCCGGTTTGAGCTTACATGGGACCTCACATTCTGTCACCACTGCTCCGAGTTCATATGAGGAACTGCCCAGCTGTCTGTAAAACTGTTCCCTGTGGTCACCACCTCCTCTGGCTCTTACCACCTTTCTGCCCCCTTTTCTGCAATGATCCCTGAGCCTTGGGAGACAGAAGTTTGATATGGGTGTCCTGTTCAGAGATGGCTCATGTCTTTTGATTAACTTAAAGAACCTATTATCCCATTTTCCTTTAAGAATTTCTTTAGGGAAGGGCTAAGGATCAAACCCAGGGCCTCACACATGCTAAGAAAGAGCCTCCGAACTTTGACAAGTTTTTGTTAAATAATTTACCAACCTTTCTTCCCAATCATTTCGCTTGAGAACTTCGAAGGACTGCCTCAGAACCAGGCGGGTCAGCTAAAGGCAGGCATTTTTAAATAAAAGTAAAAAGCAGTCATCAGCTTGGCAGAATGAGGAGCTGGATCCTGGACCCCACAGTGAGACAGCATTCAATTCAACCTCTGGGTCAAAAATGCTAACCCAGCATGGTGATGCATGTCTGCACCTGAGAGCCGGAAATCAGCCTGGGCAATACACTGAGACTCTACCCCTAGAACCCCTCCTCCCTGACAAACAACCAAGGTTCATTAACGATCCCCAGCCTCATTCCCAACAGCTCAAATAACAGGAACAGAGGTGCCTTCAGCAGGTACTCCACACCTGATGACCACCGCCTCCCACCACACTGAGACTGGCTTCCCATTTCTTCTTTAGAAAATAGCCTTTTCAGTACTGGGGATGGAAGGTAGGTTTCAAGAACGCCAGGCAAAGCAACTCTCTTCTGAGAAGCCTACACCCAGGCTGTTACGTGTCTCACTGTCTTCCTGACAGAGTGTGTCTCTCTCTCTCTCTCCCCCCCTTCCCTCTCTCCCTCTCTCTCCCTCCCTCCGCTCCCTCCTTCCTACACCAGTGCTACATTTAAAAATCACTTAAGAAGGCCAGGCGTGGTGGCCTTTAGTGCCAGCTGTCGGAGCAGCTGTCGGAGGCAGAGGCTGGTGGATCTCTGTGAGCCTGAGGCCAGCCTGGTCTACATAGTGAGTTCCAGGTGGGCTGGAACTAGGAAGACCCTGACAAATAATAATAACCTCCCAATAAACTCCACTTGGCATTAGAGAGAAAAGCAGGAGAATACCAGCAAGTGCTCCACAGTCTGGACACAGGACACTCAGCCCACGGAGGAGTGCGGCTGAGGCGCCGGCCTTACTCACCATGCAGTACTTGTCCAGTTGCAGCTTGTCTATCCCCTGCCACTCACGATTCATGGTCTGCCAGAAGGTCTGAATGAACAAGTGTTCTGTGGGAACAAGAGGCTCTCAGTGCTCGGGGACACACACACACACACACACACACACACACACACACACATACACACGAGCACAGCGACACAGACATGCAGAGCAGGAAGGCTGGCCATGGCCCCAGGCAGAGGTCCCTACAGTTTCATTCTTCAGATTTATTATTATTTTTTGGTCTTTTTGAGACAGGGTCTCTCTGTAGCCCCAGCTGGCCTGGAACTCACTATGTAGACCAGGCTCGCCCGGCTGGTTTCATTCTTTGTCCACCCAAAGCCTGTTTTCTATTAAAGAGTCCCTTGGCCGGGTGTGGTGGTATACACCATTAATCCCAGCACTTGGGAGGCAGAGGCAGGCATATCTCTGTGAGTTTCAGGGACATCCTGTCTCAAAAAGACGAAAGACAGAAAAAACCCCCCACAAAAAAACGAAAAAAAAAAAAAAGAAAAGAGTTCTTTGACTGGTACCCACTGACCCTTCCCACCCTATCTGTACCTGGCAACCAACCCAGATCTATTAATCTTGATGATACTTGCACAATTCACGGAGAAATGCAGCCTTTCTTTTGAGGGTCAGTGTTATTTGGAAGAGCCATGGCAAAAATATTCTACTTTTCTCCTTTGAGAGAGAACTAGCATGTTTTAAACTGGAAATTTTTCCTTTCTTTCTAATTTCTGCTTTTTTCACAGTTATCTCCCTTCTTTTGAGATATGGCCTTACTAAGTAACCCTGGCTGGCCTGGAACTTAACATGTAGACCAGGTTAGCCCCGGACTCACAGAGTTAAGTCTGCTTCTGCCTTTCAAATGCTGAGATTAAAAGCGTCCACAAATATGGGCCACATTTCTTTCTCCCCCCCTCCCCTTCCCCCCTTTTTGGGTCTCCTTGTAGCCCCAGCTGGCTTGGAACTCATTATATAGACTAGGCTGGCCTCAATCTCACAGATCTGTCTGCCCCCCTACCCTCTGACATAGGGTTTGGCTATTTAACCCAGGCTAGCCTGGAACTCACAAACCTCCCGCCTCAGCCTCTTGTGTTGGGATTACAGCCATGTACTCCCACACTCAGCATGTATTAACAAATGCAAAGCTCTACTATACATCAAATGTAGAATTCTGCTTGTCGGCTAGAATTCAGAGAACCACTGAGGGTGTCTCTAGAGAAGAAGGCTAAACAAAACTGCTCTCTTCTTTGTAAGCAGTCAAGGCCTGGTTCCGAAACCTTTGTCTTTTCTTTTTGGTAGAGAAGGGTTTATTATACTCTATCACATGATAGCTCTAATTGCGGCTAGGACGCATTTACTGGAGAGGCTATTGTACGAACTGGCAAGTGGATCTTGGCCTCAAGGTGTTGGAGTAACTTAACTTGGAGACTCTGGGTCACTGAGCATAGTCTTGGAGATGGCAAATGAGTCTCCATCCTCTCTGCAGTCAAATACTCTTAAAAGCAAGAACAGCCTGTCACCTGATATCTGCAGTGCTAGCAGTAGACTCCCATATCACCAGTACCCAGAAAACTGCACGTACAAAGGAGGAAAAGTACTGACTAGGTTTTCCTAGGCCAAGTACCAAATCTGATGAACAAAGGAGTCTGAAAGTCAGGAAAATACCAGAACTTACGAGCCTCTGAGTTGTTAACGACATGGATGAGTTGGGAAATAGTGTTCGCTAGCTCCTCCTGCAAAGGTGGGTTGGGAAAAACACCCTGGTTATTAGGTGGCTGTGCTGAGGCAGTACCGTGGCCCACACCCTTCTCCCTCCTGCTGATGGGAAAGCCTATGTCTCTTGGACTGTGGCTGACTACCCAGGTCTCATCAAATGTGAAATTCTAAATTTCAGTGGGCTACTGGGCTGATGAGATGTTTCTGGAAACTGCTTAAACTGAATGTTTAAGAAAGCACCTCTGGTAAGCAAGCAGTTTGAATAACCTACAGGAGAAAAATCTCACTGCTAATTCCTGGCTTTAAATCTATAACCAAACAGAGAGCTTATCATGAACATCGAACTCTATGAAAGACAAGAAGAGGGTACGGGGCTGCCCTGCCAGTGTTTGGATGATGGGGTTCTCACTCTCCTCTACCTGGCCTGGCCAGAGTAGGCTGTGCCTCAGACAAAGGCGCCCTCAGGAAAACACGGCTCTGGAGTGCTGCAGACTCCATTTCAGAGCTGCGCTCAGGAAGACGCCTCCTGTTTCCAGCCACCCAACAAACACTCCTCCTCAGTGCATTTCCCTTCTCCCATACTGGGCTCCTCATGCCTTCTGAACGAGCTCCAAGACTCAAAAATGATGCCCCCTTTGTCGGTGCCTTCCTCCACTGAGGCCACTGGCTGCTACTTCAGAATACAACCTGACAATATTTTGCCCTGCTATCCTACTCAAAATATGTTCAGCAGAAAAAGCAGTCAATTGAGGCAAGTTACTCCTTGTCTGAGAGAAGCAGAAGGTTGCACACAAGCCTGGAAGGTGAGCACTTCCCACAGGACTCTGCTCCAGGGCTCTGTGTGCCATGACCCACCCTCCCCTGCTAGAGGCCGGCCTAGCTTCAGACACCAGAAAAATACTCTGGCAGCGGTGCTGGTGGCGGGCCCAGCAGACAGGACAAAGGCTCGCCTGTGGGTCCTGATCACTAGTGCAGCCTGCACAGTGCTGCCTTGTCTGGGCACTGGGCCTGCCAGGGACTAGGTGACTAGGCTCCTGCTGTGCCTACTGACCATGCAGGATAAACTCAACAGAACATAAAAACTTTGAAGATGTCATGTGAAGCTACCATGGAAGCTATGAAATGGAGACAGAGCAGAAGGGAAGCTATGACTTAGAGTGTCTATCACGTCTGAAAGCACGGCCTAAGTGCAGTGCTGCCCCTTCCTGTGTGGACAGGAGGCTACACAATGGCTCCTTGAAGCATTTACTTCCATCTCTCCAGGGATGGCTGCGGACTGGCGGAGCAGACAGTCAAGTCTCTCATCCATTGTGGCAAAGGCCCAGGAACATGACGAGGGGCTGGTTACCTGCAGAAGGGGCTCGTCCTGTACCCACATGCAGTAGAAGAGGCCTCTCCATATCTTCAGGAGTTCTTCTTGGCTGAAACCTCCTGCAGGGCAAAGAGGCACACAAGTTCAAAGCCTACAGATTTCCCTCCTCATCAACAATGCCCAGGAATGGACGCACTACTGCATACGATTCAATCCCCTTCCTCTGCACATCTTAAATTCCAAGCACACACTGTTAGTGTTCCAAGTACGCCCGTGAGGTACTGTACACGTGGTTTCATCAGCTGTGGAGGGTGGCTGCAGGAGCAGGTCCTTATCAGCAAGTGTGACAAGAAACTAACCCATGTGCCTGGTTGATAACTTGCCAAGTACACACAAGGTCGGGAGCGCATCCCTCACAAAAAGGAAGGAGAAGGAAGAAAGGAGAGGAGGAACCAGGAAGTGGCCATTTACAGAATCCCCCAAGTACTCTCTGCTTAAAACTGCACACCAACATTGTCACTGATATAAATGAAGAAATACTACAGCATCTACAAGACGCTGGTTTCTCTAGTCACACAGAGCCTCGGGCAACTGGCAGACCTATTCACAAGGACAGAAGGTGGCCAGGCCGAGGATGTAGGGCTCCCGATATAGATCTGAGAGCCATGGGTTGAGGAAAGCTCTAGAGACATCGATCCAGCTGTGGAATCGTTTGGCTAAAGTGACACTCTTCAGGGTCTGCCACAGGGAAACATGGCTGTGCCTGATCCTCTCGTGTCAGCTGTCACTTCCTAGGCTGTTGTAGCTTCTTAAATAAAACTAACCAACCAACCACCGACCCACCCACCCACCCACCCATCCACCAGGGTCTCACTGTGTAGCCCTGGCTGGCCTGGAACTTACTATGTAGTCCAGGTTGGCCTCAAACCCAGAGATCCACTTGCGTCTGCCTCCTAAGTGCTGGGTGCTGGGACTAAAGGCATGTACCATCCACACCTGGCCCAATTTTAAGTGGCACATCCTGGTCGGGTTGCTGTCACTGCCCCATGGCCCCATCTCTGTCTTACCATCTGTTGCTGGGCCATCAGGCTGACGGCCAGCAGCTCCTGGGTCTATTCTAGGTGATGCATGCTGAACACAGGGAACAAAATGATCACAAAATAAGGCCGAACACACAGCACATTTGGAATTTCTAAGCTTTGGGACCATAGAGTCAGAGAGTAAACAGACTCCTTAGGGCTTGATATGTCACTGATGTACTATGTCACCATGTTATGCATGGACTTTATCCATATTTTACTGGAAAAATCTTTTGAACTGGGATAAACAAGTTGAATACAAGTAAGTTTTTTAAAAACAGATTTTTATGCACTTGGGAGGCAGAGGTAGGCAGATCTCTGTGACAAGGCCAGCCTGGTCTACATAGTGAGTTCCAGGTCAGCTGGGGCTACGGGGAGACCCTGTCTCAAAAAGACCAAAAAGAAGAAGAAGAAAAAGATTGTATGTGTGTGCGTATTAGTGTTTGTCTACATGCATGTGTACCAGGCATGGGATAGACCAAACCTGAGACCTCCGTGAGAGTGTCAAGTACTCTTCACTGCTGAGCCATCTCTACAGCCTTGTTTGCTTGGCTTTTTTTTTGGTCTTTTTGAGACAGGGTCTCCCTGGGGCTACGCCCCAGATGGCCTGGAACTCACTATGTAGACCAGGCTGGCCTTGAACTCACAGAGATCTGCCTGCCTCTGCCTCCCAAGTGCTGGGATTAAAGGCATACACCACCACAACTGGCCTTGGCTTGGCTTTTTTGAGACACGGTCTTGCTACACAGCTTCAGCTGGCCATGAACTTGTGCTCTCCCTGCCTCAGCATCTGTGCTTGATCACAGGTGTGCGCCACCACACTGCTCATTGTGCCAGCAATGCTGTAAGATGACTGATGTGACAAGGGCCCTCGTAACAGCCTCATACTTCTGTAGTGTTCAGTGCGAGCCCACTTTATCTTACGGACGGATTTCCAACTTACTACATGTATGCCCATACATGTGCTGCACACATATACTAAAAAAAAAGACCTTTCTCTTATCAACGACTTCCTGACAGTGCATTCTGATTCTTCTGTGATAGCTTCCTACTTAGCAAATAATAGAAATCAATCAAATTAGTTGAAGTATGTGTCCTTGTACAGATGATGTGCCAACTGGCCTTCCCTTTTGTGATACATGAGTCATGCCTGGGATTGACACAGGCAATGTAAATGTGGCATAAATCCACCAGCACATTTGTCATGGTAACCTGTGCTTATTCCGGGTCATGTTCAAAGACTGCACACGTTCCTAGTGAACAGATGGATCCTGGCAGGGAGAGATGCTTCCCTGGATGGTCTCTATCCTCACATTCCTGTGAAGGCTCACGACTGCCCTGAGCCTGACTGGAAACAGACTTCCCTGCAGCTGCCTGTCTTTTCTAATCTAGTTCCCACCCTGACTGCTGTCACTCCTCCACCCCTCACCTACCTGGGCCATCAGCCTCCCTCCAGTCCTGCCCTAAAATCCTATACTGAGCCCTGGAGGGAGTAACAGAGCAGCTGCCGGGCACAACCTGATTGCCCAGCCCTGACCTAGAGTAGGCCCTGATGGCTCAGCAACAGATGGTAAGGCAGGTCGGGCCATGGAGCAGCTGACACAAGAGGATTGGGCACAGCCACGTTTCCCTGTGGCAGACCCTGAAAAGTGTCACTTCAGCCGAACCATTCCACAGCTGGATCGACGTCTCTAGAGCTTTCTTCAACCTGAGGCTCTCAGATCTACATCAGGAGCCCTACATCCTGGGCCTGGCCATCTTCTGTCCTAGTGAATGGGTATGCCAGTTGCTGGGGCTATCCAAAGTCACAGTCAAAAGCACATCTAATTCACTGGTTCTCAAAATCCAGTCTCTGCCCAAAGGACACTGGTACCTGCCTTGATGTGTAGCCCAGCAGACCTTTCCTGCACATGTGCACAATCGTTACAGCATGGCCACATGTGTTAGGATATGTTACTATAATCTGCATTGTGGCCTTTCACACTTAACAGCATGGTGTATATTATCTCCAGATGGATGTTGTATGTGTGTGCGTGTGCGCGTACACGCACATGTGGTGCTGGAGACTGAACCCACGGGACACATGCTAGTAAGTGTGCTGCATCTGAACTCAGGTTCTTGTTGTGCATGTGTGGCAGGCATTTTGCTGATGAAGCCATGTCCCTATGCCCTGTAGTTATTATTATTGGTGATGTTGTTTTGAGACAGGATCTCACTCTGCAGCCCTGGCTGGCCTGTAACTCATAGAGATCTGCCTGCCTCTGTCTCACAAGCACTGGGATTAAAGGCATGTGCTAATACGCTCAGCTTATGTATGTTTTTTGGTGATTCTGGGGTTTGAAATTAGGGCTTTGCACATGCTGGGCAAGTTGCTACCACTAAGGGACAGCCCCAGTTCCCCTGCTTTTTTTTGGTCTTTTTGAGATAGGGTCTCCCTGTAGCCCCAGCTGGCCTTGAACTCAGAGATCTGCCTGCCTCTGCTGGGATTAAAGGCATGCACCACCACATCTGACCCCCTGCAGTTATTTTTTGAAAGCCCACTATATTTCACACAGTGTGGACATGATGATCAACAAGGGTAACAAGATGAGTAACTCTGGAGAGAGAGATGGTAACCAGGAAGGGTGTAAACTAACTGGCATCAGGCCTCCCTGCACCAACTCAGCATTCAAAGTCCTGGGCCTGTTCTCCAAAGGGCTCTGAGCAGCATGTGGTCTGCTAAGGTTCCATATGTTTCCACCAAAACAGGTGGAAGCTTATAGTGTTTGGGGGACATAACAAGAGATCAAATACCTATGCTCAGGAGGTGGAGGTGGGAGGGTAGGAGTGCAAATGTGTTGGGGACTACACAGGCTAAGCTGGACTAGGGGAGATTGTCTCAAAACAAGCAAACACCTCCAATCAATAAAACAGTGTATGTAAGAGCAGTAACGGAGACTGATGTTTTCTAGGGTAAAGTATGGAGGCAGGTGATAAGTATGGATTTCTCCAGGAAGTGATGCACCAAAGGGCTGGGATTCTTTGCAAACAAGCAGAAGATGTGAGGGCAGGGAGGGGGAAAGTGCCTGGGGCCCTCCATGGGGGCTGTGTTGATGAAGCAGCCACCTGAGTTGGGAGCACAATGGGGTTAAGATCAACTCGGGAACTGGCTCGGGAAAAAGGAGTCTCTGCTTAAGGCAGAGTAATTCAGGAGTGAGGAGGCAGGACCAGGGTCGATATTTGTTTATGGATGTGGAAGATGAGAGTCCAGGGAAATGTGGTGTGTCTGTATGGTGGGAACATGAAGCCAAAATATGGGAGCCCTCAGACAGGAGCAGCAGCAGGACAGAACAGGATTTTAGGGAGTGGGGATGGAGCCCGTTTGGGACACTTTAGGTGGCTATAGGACACCCAAGTGGAATGTCAGACTGACAGCACTTATCCCGGCTGAGCCTCAGAGGGGTCTTCTTGACCCAGCAAGGGAGGTTTAGGAACCATCAGCAGACCTAGATAGCAAACTTGAAAACATGAAAGTAAAGTGGTTTTCTGAGGGCGATCCTTAACAGAAATGGGCTGAAGTGATGGTTCCGTGGGTACAAGCATTTGCTGAGGATGCCTGACAACCCGAGTCTGATGTCTGGATCCCACAGAGGAGTAAACTGACTCCCCAAAGTTGTCCTCTCGCTTCCACATGAATGCCGCGCCACAGCCCTCGTGTGCACACAAGCGGGCACAAACGCACACTCTAAAATGAAAAATTCAGGCATTCACTTCTGCTTCAGCTCCCTAAGTGCTGGAACTAAATGTGTGAGCAGGCAGATTTCAATTTTAAGCGGATTTAGTAATAACTAACTCAAACTTTGGCCAACTCAGTTCAACCCCAAACCTCCACAACACGTTGCTATCCAGACCGTTATATGCTCCCTCAAGGATTACAAAAGCTATTTTGAGTACGTAAAAATTTTCCAACGCACTCCACCGCTGTTAAACACAAACCACAAAGCCCCAGAGATCTGGCCACAGCCTGCAGGCCCAACTTCATCTCCACCCGCCCTGCGAGCCAACTTGCTGGTGTCCCCAGTCTGGGGCATGCTCAGCGCTTTCCTGCATCTGCACGGCCGGCCTCCTCCCGTCCAGACTCCACCGTACGCAGATGGGCCCGCTGCACCGAGGGGCTCCTTCCGCACTGAGCCCCCTGCTTCAGCTCCTGGAGGAGAGGAACGCAGTCTGTCCCTCTTCACCACCCCAACACTTCAAGGCACAGTTCAAGGAAGGCGGGGACCCGAGACCCGCACCGCGAACCAGGCGGGTCGGCGCTGAGCTGCGGAGGGACGGGCCGGAGCACGCCCGGCTCCCGGCGCCCGCACAGACAGTGGGCGGCGGCCCCCGCACCCCACGCGGACCGCCGCGGCGCGCACCTGTGTCGCCCTGCGTCCTCACGCTCAGGTACTGCCGCAGCTTCCGCACCGCGCGCTCGCGGATGCCCTTCTCGCTGGACGCCAGGCGCTGCGCGAACTGGAGCTCAGCCGAAGGCATGGCGGGACGCATCGTGCCACCCCAGACCGCACGCCGGCCACTCGTCGCCGCGCAGCCCGAGTCGCGCCTGCGCAACGGGGCGGCGCACGCGGATGACGTCACGCGAGCGCCGCTCGCAGAGCGTGCCGGGAGCCCGCGTGGTCGGCGTTCCGGAGCCAGTCGGAGCCGAGCCTCCGGAGCGTGTCAAGTGGGTTGTCCGAGTTCAGGGCGGTTGGCGGTGACGGTAGCCGTGGTCAGGTCTCCGCCAGGAAGATGCCGACGGCTGCGTAGACGAGACGTGTCTAGACTCCAGTATGCGGACGGCTGGCTGCGTAGACGGAGTCCAGAGTCTGGAACACGGACGGCGGCTGCGTAGTCCAGACTCCAGTACGTGGACGGCTGCATAGACGAGTCTAGAATCTAGAACACGGACGGCTGCGTAGACGAGACTGAGTCCAGAATCTAGTACACGGACGGCCGTGTAGACTGAGTCCAGACTACAGTACGCGGACGGCTGCATAAATGCAATCTAGAGTCTACTACATGGATGGCTGCATAGACGGAGTCTAGAAGCCAGTACACAGACGGCTGCGTTGGAGGAGTCTAGAATCTAGTACATGGATGGCTGCATAGACGGAGTCCAGACTCTAGGACATGGACAGCTGCATAGATGAGTCTAGAGTCTAGGACACAGACGGCTGCATAGACGAGTCTAGAATCCAGGACTCCGATGGCTGGCTAGATGCAGTCTAAAATCTAGAACAGGGATGGTTGCATAGACGAAGTCCAGAAATCTAGTACATGGATGGTTGTATAGACAGTTTAGAATCTAGGACAAAAATGGCTGCATAGACAAAATCCAGACTCCAGGACCCTGATGGCTGGCTAGATGCAGTCTAAAATCTAGGACACGGCTGCATAGATGGAGTCCGCAATCTAGGACCCCGATGGCTGCATAGACACAGTCTAAAATCTAGTACATGAACTCCTGGTTAGATGTAGTCTAGAATCTAAGCACACCTAGTGAAGTCCTGTCTGGCTGGTATTGTTCCTGCGGACCCCCCCCCCCCCCTAGGGGTTGGGGGTCACTTTTTTTCGGTGGGGCGTGTAGACTGCCGACCTCT